CAACTGTCACTAAATATCCTCATGCAAGAAACAATGTTGTACAATCAGTAGTGGGCGAGTATAAAAGAACTGTCAACTAGATATCCTCATGCTAGAAACAATGTTGTACAGTCAGTAGTGGGTGAGTATTGAGTAGTCAGAAAACTGAATGTTTCTTCAGAAAGCAGGTCCTTTCAGAGAACATAATTTGTTTACTGTATGTTGTAATGCAGAGACACTTAGTTTACATAAACTTTTTCCATATGGGTTGGGGTCAGAGTGTGTGTCACCACGTTTTGTAGACTTGCATTTACAAATTTTATTAAACTACTATTTTATGAATGTACTTCCATAAATTTGGAAACAGATTGCAGTTTATAATTCAAATCTGAGTGTTATAAAAGTAAGTGTAAAAAAAATTTAAGGACCAGTTTCTTGTGTGTCTCATGGTACATTGTCTTCTGTTTTTGCTCAGATTGTATTGTGTGTATCATAAAATGTAAAGTCTACAGATTACCAATATTGACAAGCTAGAATATAAAATAAGAACCTCCTACATTCTCTATTTGCTGAGATATTATATTTACCAAACCCACCACAATGATTTTGCTAATCTCTTCCTCTTTTGAAAATATTTGTTTACCTGTGTTTACTTACCTTACGCACATGTTTGTAACCAATTGAAAGCCCTCATTTTCAAATACATAGTCCTGTCAGTTTCCTAAAGTATTTATGTTGATAAAGTTGTTATAACCATTGGAGAGTTTGAAGAGTGGTGATTAAGGCAATATTATGATCACAAATGATATTTTTTGGACCCAAATACAGCTTAGTTATAAAGCCTGATAAATTACAGTGGATTTTTGTGGTATCAGTATAGTAATTTATAATTTTTGGTTATTCCAAAATGCATATATAAAACATACAATTTGTTTTTTAGATTCTTCGTGTGAAATTTAATGAGGCTTAGCAAGTATATACTATTTCATAATACTAAGTAGCAGAGATCATTGTTTTCAATATTTTTTTTATTTACTATTCTATGTTTAAAAAAACACAATTAGAATTTGAGAATTTATTTGTAAATTGTAATAATATACATATATATATATATGCATATGTAATGTATGATAACCAAAATGTCAGTGTATTTTACAAAATACTGGTACACTAGTACTAAGACTAAGAAGAGTAAGACATTTTTTCTTTGTAAAGGTTAGTTTTATGCTATTTGATATGGTAACATGAGCTGCATGTGTGCCCCATGATTTACAGCTTGGATGATGGGATTATTAGTTAGATGTGATTCAAAGGTCAATAAAACAAAAAAAAAACAATATATATATAAATAAATGTATACTGTTATGAGATTTAAGCTATTTAGAATAAAGAGTTGTGGTTTTCTGTTACAATCTGCAGTCATTCTAGAAAGAAAAAAGGTAATTTAGATTTATTTCCTAATTTTTTTTATGGTGGTTATGAGGTTGGTCAAATCAACCTACCCCGTATAGAGATAGGATAGAAAAAATAACAGATAAAATATAAAGTTTTTCTTTTAAAAAACATTTGGTAATGAGGTTATAGAGATTATGCAAATAAAATTTGACAATTTTCAGATGAAGAAAAGTATTTTTTATATTGTAATATCAAAATTACTATGCATGTTGGATATTCAACATTCTGAAAGCAAAAATTCAGTAGCAAATCAATAATTAAAATATTTAAATAAAAAATTGATACATTAAGTACAAAAGCCATGTAATATTGACAGTCTGCAAAATTTTGTGAAGATACATATATAGTATCAAAAGATATAACTAATCTCATGGTTACTTTGATGGTTACATAGTAGGTGCAATGCACCTAACCCTGTAGTCAAAGAGTTAAAGGACTTATATTAGTTTGTTGACAAAATACTGTTAAATTGCTTGCTTTTGCTAGATTAATTTAGTATTGACAATAATATACAAATTATTTAAAGATTCAAAAGTCAGGTTTTTTTTCAAATTTTATCATTATAAACCAATAGTTACACAGAATTTAAGATTCTTGTATCTAGTTGTCCTATTATGCCAAATAATGAAAAGGGAACCTGTTTAAACTCTTGCTGTGAATAATTTATCTTACTAAGCAATTAATAGTTTATAGGCTTCTATGTGTAGTTGTGATGTTCACCAATTTTTAACCTATTTACTATATGTGGTCTCTGTTTTTTCTGTTCACTGCATCAACTCGCTATCTAGTAAATCTGTAAAATAACTTGGATTTTCTCCATCTTTAGCAGTGCTCACTGCTGCAACAGTGATATGTTGTCATTCAGGCTTCTCTGACAACTTGAGGGAAACTGACACATACAGGAGGAAAGAACTTGCTTACTGTATGGCAAAATATAGTGAAAGGTCAATGGGCTACATTTGCATAAAAATCTATGATTCAACACCTTGTGCAGGAACTTTAAAATCAAGAATCCATATGTGTGCCCAGCTGCAGTGAATGAATTGAAATATTCTTTTTTTATTAATACTTTTGAAAACTTATTAGAGGCTCTAGTTAGACCAATCAAATTACATCAGAACAGTGGTATATGTAATGTAAAATGTATATGTATATCATAGAAGAAAATATTTTTTGTAAATTGTTGAATAGATGTAATCTTCATGACTACTGCACCTGGTCAATGTGTTCTTGACAATAGAAACGTTAAATCTTTAGGCTGAATAACTTAAACACTGTCGTCAGAGTGAGGAGAGCTTATATTTAAATTGATAAATTAGAATAATCTCTTTCTGTTGGTTATGAATAGAACAATAGAAAATGTCAAAGAGAATTATTGGCATATTTTGAAAGACAGGATGTGCTATGAAGGGCATGGCATGTGGATTTCACTTTATTGCATATATATTTCACTGAAGCAAGATTGGAGACTACAAATTAACATTTGAGCTTAGGAATATGTGTAGTACAATTGTGAACTTTGTCAGAAACTTAGAATATCATATAGGGGAGAAAAATCTAAAATTGGCAATTCGGAACAAAGAAGTGTTGAGTGATACATAGAAGTGATGACTAAGAATTTATTTAAATATGTCCTTTTGAATTAAGAAATTAATACCTACATTAAAATTTGAATTATAAACTATGTTTTCTTGCCATGTTTATTGAAATACATTCCTAATAAAGTTGTTTAATGAAATTCTGAATGTAACTCTGTAAAAGGTCATCATGACATGCACACTTTGACCTTATTATATACATAGGTTTGATCACAATAATAATGAAAAAAAAAACATCTTTATCTGTATGAACATATTGCTGTTTTCTATTAGGAATCATAAGTGTGTGACAAATTTTACATCATATACTAAAAACATTATTTTACTGTAAGGCAGAAAAAATAAGTAAATAAAAACCAAAAGTAAGACTTTTAAAATTCAGAGATTGATCAAGCATAAGATTGAATGTTACATGTGAAATGTTTTCATGGCAATTTTTATTGAATGTAATGAGCAGTTCCACAGCCTAAAGTTTAATAATAGAATTAATAAAGATGTGCAATATGAAACTAACTGTTCCACTGTCATGAATTGAAGTGCTACTTACAAAGCTATAATTGCTTTGTAAGAATAAATAATATCATTAAATAGTAGTTAATATTTCAACAAGTGTAATTATTTAGAAAAATTATAATATACCCAAGAACTTTCTTCCGGTATTGTTTGTTTAATGTAACAGAGTACCCTCAAATAACATCTCTCACTTTTATTTTTAAGCTACAGGAAAACCTTCATATTCCACAAATACAGCTTATGCATCTCAACGTCAAGTGCAAAAGAACCAAAACTTGCAGACTGGAGCTGTTTCATCTTATTCCTACACAGGAAGCACTGTTGGAGCATCACCTTCCACCTACTCCACTTATAATACAGGAAATACAGGAAACTACTCAAACAAAAGTATTGTTTTTTTTTATTATTATTATTTATTAGTTGCTCTAAAGACCATGAGATAAGCCAGATTTTAACTACCAGTTTTACATGTAGCCTTTCAAAGTCATAGTTTTTGTACATAATCATTTTAAAAAATTAAAAAACCAACACATTTACTATAAAGTTTTGATAATTCTCATATAAAATTAATTTGTAGTATATTTGTTAAAAATCTGCTAATCCTTCAAGTAAAAGAAAATTTTCATCAGCTTCAGTATATGGACATCAACAACAACAATCAACCCAGTCTAGTGCAGCTGTTGCTTCTAACAACATTACTAACCAGCAAAATACCACTTCCATTGTACAAACTCAGAAGACCCACGTTAACACTTGGTCAGGTTTTAAAAGAGGACCAGTGAGGTTTCAAAAACCAAAACTTCCACCAAAACCAGAGCAGTTACATTATTGTGAAGTTTGCAAGATTAGCTGTGCTGGACCACAGGTTAGAAAATAATAATTATTATTTAGCAAGATGTCCAACTTGAGATTTTTTTTTGTTGTTGTTGTTGGTGGTGTATTCAATTTAAATATAACATTTGATAAGAATTCTACATGCTTAAAATTCTGAATTGTTTTAAATGTTGTATAAAATATCACTTTAGTCAAAGTTATGCATTATGTTTATGACTGTTTAACCTCTTCCATATGAGTGGGGGTCAGTGTGTGTCATCACATTTTGCAGATTTAGATTCAAAATTTTATTAGCATACTATTTTATGAATGTATGTCCATAAATGTGAAATCAAGTTATAGTTTATAATTCAAATTTTAGTATTATACATTATTTAATTTCTTAATTCAAAAGTAAATATAAAAAAATTGCTAAATGTTGATTATTTTTTTGGGTGTCCGCATGATACTTTGTCTTCTGCTTTTGCACAGATTGTATTTTGGGTGTCATAAAATGTAATATCTATAGCTTTTAATGAATTAGAAACTCAAATTACTAATATTGACAGGCTAGAATATAAAATAAGAACCTCCTACATTTTCTATTTGCTGAGATATTATATTTAGTGAACCCACCACAGTGGCTCCACGCACCTCTTCCTCGTTTGAAAATACTTGTTAGCTACACCTACTTCTCTATAGTATATGTTTATAACCAATAGAAAATTCTTATTTTGAAATATGTAATTCTTATGCAGGATAAGCTGGCATTACCATTGCATGGCTTGAAGAGTGGTGATGAAGATGATATTATGATCAAAAATGAGATTTTTTAGACCCAAATACAGCTTAGTTAGAAAGCCTGATAAATTACAGTGGATTTTTACGGTATCAGTATAGTAATTTATAATTTTTGATTATTCCAAAATGCATATGTAATACCTACAAAAAATGTTGTTGTTTTTTATAACCTCCATCTGCAAAATTTGACAAGGCTTACAAAGTATGACGAATGAGTACAAAAACTTCGTAACAACATCATAAGAAGTATAGATCATTATTTTCTATATATTTTTTATTTAATGTTCTTTGTTTTAAGAAAAATAATTGAAATGTTTCCCAACAAACTTTAATAACATTCAAAAGCTAATATTTTTAGAAATACTAATTCTAATTATATGATTTTTTACACAGATATTATTTAAAAAGATTTTCAAGTTTTATGAAGTTTGATTCATTAGTTTGTGATCTCAAAAATGTTGACTTGTGGAATTAATATACTTAGGTTCCAATGTCATTAAAAAGGTTAAAGCTCAATTGGAGTAATGAATACTTGAATAGAAAATAGTTAGCTCGATCTGTTGTTGGTTTTGGTTTAAGTGCAAAAACAAAGTATCTACAGTATCAGATGGTGCATAGAGATTGAAAACCTGAAGAGGCTGTCGAAAACATAAAATTAAAACAATTACATAATGGTCGTATCAAATGAAGGCGACAGTTGAATATATGACACTAAGCTCTTTTGGCCCTTCTGAGGGAAAAGTGTTTTATTGTTATCATAAGAATGCATGTTTTATTGGATGCAGTTGAAGAAATACTTAATATTATAAGTTGTATTGTGCACAGCCCTATGTGAATGACGTTAATGCTTTGCACCTACCTTGTTTCTGTAAAACTGTACATAGAATTGTTTACTATAATTCCAAATTTACTATGTATATCTTCATGAAATTTGGCAAGTTTTATAATAATTGTTGTACAAAAAATATTAGAATTTTTACTAAAGATTTGTCTGTGAATATACTGAGTCAGTCTGACTAGTCTGCGTGCAAGGTGATTTTCATGTTAAGAATAGAAATACTTTTTCATCTTAAATATTTCATTTGCATAACTTCTAGAACCTCCTAAATAAAAATCAAAAAGCGTTTTTTTTTTTTCATTAGAACTTTATCTGTTATTTTGTCTACCTTAACATTAAATGTATAAAGTAAAATCAAAAATACCTTCTTTTTTTATACTAGAATGGATGCAAATTGTAGTAACATTTATAATTATGTATATTAAGAGCTTTAGGCATCTCAAGTTTTTGCATCTTCTCTCACTTAATTTTACTGTTCTATTGCTCTTAGCACCGTATATAACTATGGTGACAAGCAGTAAATCACTGGGTGATATCACAGACTAAACAAACAGATCACATTACATCACTCATGTCTAACTGCTTGTTCATTGTTCAGGGAGTGATGACAAGATTTTTTATTTTCTTTCATTTAAGTTTCATTTTCAAACTTAAGTTGTTTTTTTTTTCAATTTTTACATTTTACTTACTTTAGTTAGAAAAACTATATGTATCAATAAATGAAAAATATACATAGAATAACTAGACATTTAATACTTTACCATAGCTCTAGGCTGTTTATACCTGCTTTTGTAAACCTTATTTTTTTCTAACTATGTTTGTTGTCCCAAGAATATTTCAACTGGTAAAACAGAATGCCCCAAAATTTCATTATTTGCGGAGCATGATCTTCAGTCTATACATCAAATTCTGCTTGAGAAATTATGTCTTTTACTAAGATAAATAAATATAGTGTCATCATAATCACACAGCTCACAAAAACATGTACCATTGAGAATTCTATCTATCTAAGCTGCAGTCATGCTTTGTTTGATGTAGTTCTTCATCAGACCAGTCCAGTATTTCCTATTCTTAGCATACTGTGTCCATCTGATTCATGTTTTCCCCACCATATTGTTCCTCCATCTTCTCTTTTGCTTTCCCTTAAATCTTTTCCATGTCCCAGGTTGCCATTCCATTGTTCTAAATGTTCACCTGTTATTGGAATACCTTGCTACAAGCCCGGGCCCATTTCCATTTAGTTTTTAGAATGAACCTCAGTGCATCTATTATATTTGTTGTTTTTCTAATTTTGTCATTTCTTCATCTGTTTTGTAGTGTTATATGAAGTATTTTTCTTTCCATAGCTCCTTGTGTGGTTTCTATCTTTTTCCTTATCTCTTTTGTTAGTGCCCATGTTTGGCAGCCAAATGTTAAGGTTGGTAGTACACACTGATCCAAGATCTTTTTCTTCAAAGTAATGGAGAAATCTTGATCCTCTAGAATTTCTATACACATTCCAAAACATTGCCATATTGTTTTTATTCTTACCATAATTTCTTCCCTTGTTGTGTTTTCCGTTTTGAGGGTTTGTCCTAAATATTTGTACTATAACACTTTCTCTGTTTTTTCTTTCTCAGTTTTGATGGTATCTGTGTCATGATAGTTGGTCATATATTTGGTTTTTCCCTTATGTATTTGTCAATTAAGTGCGAGTAAATTTAAAAAGCATGAAAAGTTTGGAGGAGTTTCTGTGGTGGATGTAACAAGTTTACTAATAACTCAGAAAATATAAAAGGTGGAAGGTTCTTAAATTAAATTCTGGCCTGTCAGTATTTATAGTTGGTGAACATTCTGAAACCCTTATAAGGGAAGAAAGAAAATGTAAAAAGGAAAATTCAGAGAGATATCAAGCGACACAGAGAGCGAAGATTGAGATTTTTTTCAATATTTCCTTTTAAAAGTTATGAAATTAAAACTTAGTATAAAATTGAATTATGAAATATGTTTTGATGCAATTATTATTGACATACATTAAATTTTGAATGTAATTCCATAAAAGGTTGTGACATGCATTTTGACTTAGCTGTATACATAGGAATAAACAATACTTTTTGCTTGATTTTAGGCTTAAGGTGTATGGTAAAGTATTGTTACGAAAGAATTCAAGTTTTTACAGTGTTAACTGTAATCAGTTCCTTTTGTATAAGTTTTCTCTTAAGTTTTATTTGATATTACAACAGGCTTATTTTTAACAGATAATTCAGAATTTTATTTACTTTGAATTTTGTGTAATTTATCTTCTAACAGACATACAGGGAGCATTTAGAAGGGCAAAAACACAAGAAAAAAGAAGCAGCATCAAAACAGGGAAATAATGTACAGAATCCCCGGGGAGGAACGTCTCTTCGTTGTGAACTGTGTGATGTTACTTGTACTGGAGCAGATACCTATGCAGCACATATTCGTGGGACTAAGCATCAGAAAGTGAGTTTGCAAGGGATGGATACATCTTAGACTTAGTTGTTAAGGTCATCCTATCTTAAAGTGTTAATGTTTAAGCTGAATGTAATCAAATTATAAACTGCAGGTTGTCCATTTTTTATGTCTCTAGTGTAATATATGATTATCAATAATTAATGATTAGTAGCCCTGATAAAGAATGACAGAATTCATTGTTTCACTGTAACTATCATTTTCAGTGTACAAATGACAGCAGGACTCACTTTTGTTATAAACTTTGCAAGATAATCTGGGAATGAAAAGTAATATTACATTTAGAATGTAATTACAGATAACATGTATTTTGGGAAAATACCTTTCTCATAAAATAAGTAATATGTGTAGTTTTAAGAAGAAGAAAGTAAAATCCTCATTACATGTAATGTGCATGTGATTTTATAGAAAACTAGTATTGGTCTGTAAGCTTGTACTTCAGACTGAATATTTAGAATTCTGTTTGGTTCTATTCATGCATTACTCATGGCTGTTTTCCATACATTTTAAGAAGCCGATAAGAAAAAAATCGTTCATTTACTTAACAAAAATTATTGTGATTATTAATGCTTTATTGTTGTAGTGAAAAACTTGTCAGGAAATGAATGGTAATGAGAATTGAACAATGTCTTTGGAACTTGGAATGTACGACACCTTGTAGTAACAAATAAAGAAGTAAATAACATAATATTGGGTTATTAATTCTTATTTAAAAAATCTTATTACTAAATGACTTAAAAAATGATAAATGCAGTTCACTTGCTTACTGTTATTCAATCTTAACAGTTGATGTTCATGAAAATGGTGATACATAAGTAAAGCCTAGACCATATCCTAGCTGGCCTGACAAGTCCTGGTATTGGGCAGAATGCCTTGTCATCCCTGGATGTAGCAGATGTGGTTGACATAAATATTCTTCTTTACTTTCACTTGTGTGTTCTTAAACATAATTCAGGTTATTTCTTATTAGTCATTACCAGAACTGTTCTTATAGATATTATTTATGAATTCATAGGTTGTGAAATTGCACACAAAACTTGGCAAGCCAATTCCTTCAGATGATCCTGTAGTGATTAGTACTGCCTCATCAAAAGGTTCCAAAGGTACTGATGGTAGTAGTGTTAAAGCAGATGTTGCATCTGGAGACAAGAAGACAGTTTCAGTGCCCAAAATAAATTTTGTGGGTATGAATTGCTCTGACTTGTGTAAAACGTGAAGCCTAAATATAACAGTTTTATTAATATTGATTTTATGCATCTTAGATTTCAGCTGTGTATAGAACTTTCTAATTAGTTTATTATCCAATTATGTAGCAGTGGTTTCAAGTTCTTAAAAAAACTAAATAGGTAATAGAATTTAACTTTATCAGTTTTTTACTTAACCATACACACTTCCATAGAATAAAGAACTGTATACTGATAAACCATACTCTAAAATAATCTTCTTCTTTTTTTCAATAATGATGCCTCATCTTGACAATAAGCTTATCAAATCAGTTGTCACAAAAATAATCAGCTAATCTAAATTTGTTTTCCCAGTTATTACTGTCTTTCATTATTTCAACAATTCATTAATCAAAATTATTTCTTCCACTTATTATTGTTCTCGATTATTCAAACATTTCATCAGCTCTCTGCATATGGGTAGAATCAGTTTGATTGACCATGTAACTACTACACACTCTAATGTTGATTACAAGCTCTGAGTAAACACAATAAATCTGTTTTACATGTATGGGCAAAGTGCTCATGTCCTAACTGTATTATAGAGTTACATTTGAAATTCAATGATGCTAATTTAGTATTAATGTGTGGTAATAAACATGACATAAAAACACAGTTTAGAAGTCATTTTTATGTTAAATAAGTTGTATAATCTTAATTTTCAAAAGATAGTATTATAAGCCAGAAGACAGAGTACCACCATGTCAGTTTTTTTTCCTCTACTCTTATAAAGGACTTTAGATTATTCAACCAATCAGCAAATGATGTATGTTGGGAGCTGCAATTATGTGTAAAACTGTTTTGAACAACTATATATATATATGAATATACTTTATCAGATATAGGAAAAATTTGTTAAAAAGAAATGTAATAAAGCAGAAGATGCAAATGTCAAGGTGCTTTTGAATCAGACTTCTAAATTTGGAGTAATGTATAATTGTTGGTGTTATAAGTGAAGTGAATAAGGTAGAGTCTTAATTACTTCAGTCCAGGAAGACACAATCTCAGTACCTAATTTATTATTGCCTTTTTCCTTGTTTTCATGATAGGTGGAACAAAACTAAATACAACTGGATCTCAAGACAAACAGGAAGAAAATAAATCAGAAGAAAAAACTGAAGGTAATAGAGGTTTTTTTGAATTATTATTCAAAATATTTGATAAATGATATGTAAGAATTTAGGAATGTTATTCCAGGTTTGTGTAATCCAATAAAATTTAATGTAAAGATGATCTAAATTTTAGTTTGTTTAACTGAAATCATTTTAATTATTTTTTTTGTTTTCTTTGGGCAGTTATCTAAAGGATCTAATAAAGGAAAACACTTTGGTTGCTCATTTTGAGAAAAATATGCTATACAAAATAAATATAAAACCTATATAAGTTTGTTAAAAGATATTAATTTTGGAGGAGAAAATATACTCACAATAAAACAATATTAATTATTTCTTAACTCTTGTTATGAGTATGTCAAAGTACATGTCATGATCTTTTTTCAGAGTAACCTTCAAAATTTAATTAAACTACTATATTATCAATGTATACAAATAAACATAGTATAAAAAGGTGTTTAATAAATCAAATTTTAATTTATATAAGCTTTAACACACACTACTGGCAGCTCAAAGTGTGCATGTCACAACTTTTTAGAGAATTACATTCAAAATTTAATTAAACTACTTTATTATCATATTATACAAATAAACTTGTCATCAAAATGTAGTTAATAAATCAAATTTTAATATTCTATAAGTTTTAAGTGCCTAGTTTTATATGGAAATATTTAGAAAATCCTCAGTCTCTGATAGTATGAGAATTGTTATATTTTCTCTCTAAGTCTTCTTCTTCTCTAATTTATTTATCGCCTCTCCTAGAAGGATGGAATTTAATGTAAATTACTCATTATAATATAGTTATTACTCAGGCAAAGAATAATTTTTATAGCTTTGAATCTTATATGATTATGGAGCCATAAACTAGAAAATCAGACCCACTTGCAATGCCCATCTGTCAATCCTCTCTTTCGCAAGTTGCCAGTAGCTATCTTTGATGTTTAATACTATATTATTTAGATCCAATAGAAAGCCAATACTTTAATTCATCAAATGACATATCATATTATATTGTTATCCAAGGCTAGCGGCATACAAATCTCATAGGCAAGGAAAATGGCATTCATATGTGAAGAGATGAGTTATCGTCTCAAAATTAACTCTCTCACTATAAGCTTGGTCAATTTGTCAAGAAATACAGTACTTATCTGGGTATTCTTTTTTTTTCTTTAGTGCAGACTGTCAATAAAAATTAACCCTACTTTTTGTATACTATGGTACTAATACACTAAATTTTATATTTAATTATTCACCTAAGAACACAGAATAATGTCATGTAAAATGCAGACAGTATTCTACAACTATCATAATTTTTTTGGCTTTCTATCCATGCAATGAAAGCTGTTAAAATTTAGCTAAGCTCACTGATGGGAATAAAGTTTCAACTGGAAATGAACTAAACAATTCTCTGTAGAAATAGTAGAAATAAGGCCTATGTGTATAACATGGTAACTTACACAGGACTAAGTAGAAGTCAATGTCCCTTGATAATGCATGACAAGTTTTAAAGCTTTTGAAACAAAAGATCAAGAAAACGAAAATCAAAGTTTCTTTAACAAATGTAAGTCTCATTAAATTGAAGTCATATGAAATTTGAATACGTTTGTGTTATACAATGCTGAGAAAAAGAATGATGTTATCACAGGTGCAAGAGTACAGGGAGCACTGTTGGTGGAGGGCTTTTGCTGCAAAACATCATCATAAGTTTAGGTGGTAATTACCTGTTTCTGGAGGATTGTTAACTGTTGGGAATGTTTTTGCCTTTTTTTCAAGGTGCTGTGGATTACCACATGCTTACTGGGCCTCCTACTACATCCTGTTAGCTGATATTCTTTCTCCTTGGTCAGGAATGGCTTATTGAACAATGAATTTAATCTGATTTGCTTTGTGTAGTGCCTTACCATTCGCGGTATGACCATATCCTTCCAGTTTCTTTATGGATTTCCTTCTTGGTTATTTTTCTTTTCTTATTTTTTGCCTGTGTCCTATGATATATATATATATATATCTTGTCCTTCACTCCATCAACCCAAATCTTGGGATTTAACTTTTTCCTCCTTGCTTGTTATTAGAGTTTATTCTGTTTCATTTCTCTAACAGTTCCTCTCACACCTAAATGCCTTGTCCCCTTCAAATTCTGATTTGCAGACATATTTCCTTTCCTTTATAGATTCCCTGTTGTTTGTATCTATTTGGCCTGCTTGGGGATAGGGCCCCTTGCCTTCAATTTCACTCACTGGTTCCCCATTTTTGCGTATTCATCTTTTTCTCACCACCCTCTTGTATTCCCTCTCCTCCCTCCACCTTTTGATTGAGGCTTTTCATCCTGCTGTAGTTGATTTTTCTGTAGAAGTTCATTCTTTTCTCTTTGCCAGCTTAACCTGTTCCACTTCTGCTCTATCCCATCTTACTTTGTTCACCTGCCATAACTGTACTCTTTCCTCCTCCTTGTGTACATGGTTTACATTGGGCTCCCATTCTTTGCCTGTACATCTAGGGTGGTGTTATTTCTCACTGGAGACCTGGGTTGACGTTGTACAACTTCAGACCTCATTTTCTTCCTAGGTTTTTTTTCTTTATTTCTTAACCTTGCTCTTTGACTCATGTTCCTTGTCTGGATCATTCTACCCCTAATCTTCCCATTCCAGGTTCCAGGCTTTTCTCTTTTTTTCTCATCTTCCCATCATCTGACATCTGGCTCATTGCTTTTCTTGTTATTGACTATCCTGTCATATGTGACTTTTCTTCTTTGACTGCAGTTAGTCTAATTTTCTGTCAACAATAGTTTTTTTTCTCCCCCCACAGTCTTTCTCCCAACTTCACTCCTCTTCCCAGTTCCTTTTGTCCTTCCTCTTAAGCTGTTAGGATAAACAATGGTAATTTTCTTTTACATTTTTCAGTCATTCTAGAAAGAACAAATGGGTAATTTAGATTTATTTAGTATTTTTTGTGGTGGTTACAAGATCGGTCAAATCAACTTAGTACATATAGGTTTGGGTAGAAAAATAACAGATAAAATACAAAGTTTTACTGAAAGAAAAGTTTGATATTCATATAGGAAGGAGGTATTAGAGGATACATAAATGAAGTTTGAAAACTATAAGATGAATAAACGTATTTTTAGTCTGAACACTTGTCAACACCCTGACAAGTCTTTAGAAAAAAATACTTCATTAAAAAATTAATTTTTTGTGTAAGAAAGATTGATTGCTAAACTCATGCCATATTTTGTGAATATATGCTCACAACATTGAAAGTTATAGTTTCATGGTTATATAGTGGTTACAAGGTCATTCAGAATGACCAAGCCCATATGGAAAGAGTTAAAGGAAGGAGATAAAAACTTTTCAGTGCTGCTCTTATGGCTCAGTTATAAATATGTGGGCTTATAATGCTAAAAACCTTGTTTCGATACCTGCAGTGGATGAAATAAAGATAGCCCATTATGTAGCTTTGCATTTAACAAAAACAAAATATTTTTCATCAAAAAGTGAAGAATAACTAATTTAGTGAAAAATTTTTGTGAAGTGAATAAATAATGGACTCATTTTGACCTGTATCAAGCCCTTGGTCTATTGGTGAAGGGTTGAGAACCTTTCATTTAGATTATGTAATATTGTGTGATACAAGTTGTCTTTGTGAAACATTCTTGAGACCTTCTATCAAGAAGTAACTTTACTGGAATACTTTTTAGTTTATCTGCAGCTGCTCAGCATAATATGCTATAAAACACTTCTATTTTCAAATTAAAATAAAAGTGTACATTAGAAATATCATTCTTCCCCCAGATATAAAATATATCAAACTGAAAATTCTACAATAACAGTAAAGAACAATCATGTGATAATCAAAAACATCTATGATCATAAAATCATGATGAACTGCCTTTCATAATTGGTCATATCATCTATTTTTTCCATGAGAACATTGTAAAATGGTTGATTAAGATTAATTTAGAAAATTAATTTTCTATTTATTGGTATAACTTATAACAATATTGATGTGTGTATCTACTAATTTAACTATAGCCATGACCCACAAAACATTTGCAGTAGTTTTCATGCCCTTCATTTGAATTTTCCTTATTTTATCATTTTCACACATGCCATTTAAGTTACGCTTCTTGGAAGTATTATGTGTTAGATCAATAAATCCTGGTCTGTTTGAAAAAATTTTGTGGTCAGATAAACAAACTCACGTAGACGTAACTTTATTTAATGAAACTGCACATGTAAAATAAACAATAAAGTAATGGTACTTATAATAGTGTACAGAGTAAGAAACAGTTGTGACCATTCATTGTATGACACTGTTTTATGAGTTGAAACAAAGAAACTCACAAAAAATGAAGAAGAAAACCAGTAGTAAAGAAAAAAGTAGCTAAAGGTGTTTATAGCGGACTATGAAATAAACCAAAGCCCAATTATTGCAAACTCTAAAGTAAATGTAAAGTTGTAATGAAAGCAAACCTATCTGAATGTGTGTTCACAATGTGATAAGCATATGGTTTCGAATGAACTGTGCATGCATATTTTAGACCTAAATAAGTCGAGAATTCCCATAAAAATTGTATTTAGTGTAATGTTAATTTTTTGTCAGGAAATTACATGTGGGTTAAGTGTTTTTTGTGTGAAATACTTTGCAAAAAAAACACTAAAGCTGGAATCTAAGCCAGTTGTTGCGTGACGAGAATGACACTATGCCATCGTACACCATACTTGTTGCATTGAAAAGTTTGACTAAGCAAAAAAGAGGTACAGTGATTATGAATTGAAAAGCCAATATGCAATCTGGTCTCCTCAGGCATAGTCCTTTCTAATAATATGAGATTTGTAACATTTGATTGAGATATTTGCGAAAAAAGTTCTGGACAGACAGACACAAGCATATTATTTATATAGAAGTTATATAAGCTAGTGGTGTACTGTTAGTAGTTCTAATAAAAACTGGCAGGTTAGAAAAGTTAATTTCTACTCATTGAGTCTCAAAATGTTTCAGAAAAGTTATGCTTGTGACTTTTGTTTTAATAAAGTATGCACTACATGCAAGTTGTTATAGTGAAATTAACATTGTAATGTTGCTAATACAATTAAAGTTTTCAAAAAATGTTTACTATAAACTAGGTGTTATAGCATTTAACTTACATTTTTGTTTTTAGATACCAAAATTGATCTTTCTAAACTGGATTCAAAAGCTGATATTCAGCCAGTGGGTAAGTACTTATTTTTGTACATCATGTTTAAGATGTGATGAATGTTCAGTATTATTAATAAACTGAAATAAGAAGATACTGCTGTTCTGTACATACTCCAATACTGTGATCTTTTCCACATCTTCATGGAACTCAACTTGTTGATTTGTCTGTAAAAGTTCAATTAATTATTTCATTTTAGACATGTGCTGTAGGTTTCTGAACTTTTATCTAAATCCGCGAATGGCTTCTAAAAGTTATTTTGCTCACATATAAATAATCGAGTAGGTTTATACATTGATGGGTGCTTTTAGAACAGTATAGTTTTTTGTTACAGGGCAAGATTACATAGATGAAATAAAGAATGATGATGGTAAAATAATCAGCTTCCAGTGCAAATTATGTGAATGTCGATTTAATGATCCAAATGCTAAGGAAATGCACATGAAGGGCCGTAGACATCGCTTACAGTACAAGGTAAGTATAACAAAGAAAAATTTCTGAAACTATTACAGGTAGATAAATTTGTACTGGGTTATTATATCAAAATGAAAAATAAGACTCAAAAGCAGATAATATAAAGTAATTTTTAAACAAGTAATGTTAAAGGATATATTAATTTTTAGCAATATGTACAATTATAGAACTACACACTTTTTAGCTGCGTACTTAATATTGGTTATTACTGTAGTTTTTGACACATTCATGAAAAGAAATTTCCTCTTTTATGTAAGTGTTCAAAAAAAACATTTAATTCTAGGTTATAGGTGTTTATTTTTCTTCTAAACTCTGGTGTAGAGTATTTGGTATCAGCTAATGAGTATCTTTTGCATTCTTGACTTTTTTTACATTTGTTGAATGAGAATGTAGTTTTATGTAGTATAAGGATATGTAGCTTGAACATTACTTTCTTTGTTGCAAGCTGAAAACAAAAATTAATATTTGATTTCATTACAAATTTTTTTCAAATATTTTATTTCCAAAAGGCTTATGGAGTTTAATGAAAATTGTAAAATTTCATTGTAATATTTTTGTATTTATTGTTGTCAACAGAAAAAGGTGGATCCTGAGCTTGTAGTAGATATCAAGCCAAGTTTACGTCAGCGCAAAATTCAAGAGAGTACCTTACGTCGGCAGCAGCTACGTGAAGAATTTTATCGACGGCGTGAAGAAGAACGTTGGAGAGAAGAATTGAGGTAGGGTAATTTAGTTTAATAGGGTTTGTCTTTTGTCTCAAAACATTTCATATGATACATTCATGATGTTTTCACATGAAAGATTGTTGTTAGTATGTTAAAGTTTCTTTTTTTTTTTCTCCTTGCATAAATATTGCCAGTCTGAGGTTCATATTTAAACAACTTTAAATCCTAAGTCTTTTCCTCTAACCCTGTTAGGGCTGGTGGGCACCTTTCTGGAGTCAAGAAGGCACTGAGAGCATGTCTTCATAATAGATTTCACAATTTAAGTAAAAATAATAGTTTTAACTGTATTTTAACATTTTTGTTTAAAGTATCTAAGAATTGGTATTTTGTAACTTTGAAAAATTTATTTACTGCAATTTTCAAAGAAAATTTTTTTAAATGTTTGAACTTTGATCTCTGTGCAGTTCCATTTGGTGTTGCCTGAAAAACAAAGCCCTAACATATGTTTTCTGGAGTTTTCCTCCCTATCCCAAAATATAAATTCATATTTACCCGGACTCTGGCATCTCTTACAAATAGATTTATGTAAAGTTTTATTATTTATGACATTTACTATCCCACAATGACTGTTTTCAAAAAATGTATGTTGAGAGGCTTTTATAATATTACAGCAAATGAGCTGGAGACAGTAACTAATAAATCTTAGCCTCCAAATGAGATAGAACCAATGGCTAAATATGATCGGAAAGAAAAGATTCTTATTTTTGAAAGTCATTATAAAGTAAGTAACACTTGGGTAAGTAGGAACGTATGATTTCTGGAAAAGTAAGTAGTGGAGATTGTCAGACTGGAGATCAAAAGATTCTAATGCAAACTTAGAAACAAGTGTAAGATTTTTTAATAGTTTCTTTTGAATGTGTTCTTATCTGTGATAATTTTTTGTGTTACATAATGTATGTTTTAAAACTACAGGAGAATTCTTTTATGAGAAGACAAGGTAATGATATTTAGAGTTAATGGGTATGATAAGCTAAGAATTGTGTGACAGCAAGCTATTTAGATGACAGAAAAGCTTTCTTATCAATATGTATTTGTAAATTTATTATTCAACATACAAGAAAATACAAGAACTCATTAGTTATGTAGTGTATGTGTATATTACGAGTGCAGATTGTATTTATACAAGTCAGTGCTCTTACTGTTCATCAGTGTTTTATGCTATTTTTGCAGCTACTTAACTGTTTCAAAAGCTCAGTAGGTAAAGATACATTGATGAAAATAAAACAAATTAGACCTAATTGAATACATAAAATGGAACTATCTGATCAATAGTATCTAAAAAAAACAAATCTGTATTTCTTTCTGTGATATTTAGTAATAGTTATGTTCTTTGTATGTAAGAGCTTGTAAGTTTTATGAACATACAATAAAATGAGTGTGGTGTTATTAGAACAACACAGGCGCAACAGTTATAGTTTTATCCAAAAGATAACTATTGAATACATTTACATGACTTTAGGCACAGAATTGAAAAACAGAAACTCTAAAGTGAAAGGAAGCATTTTTTTTAAATGGTATTTCAAAATTTTATTTTGAAAGTTGAAACATCAGAACCTAAAATATGATGCAAGTACTAAATCAATTTATGTATTTTTTCAGTCACAAACTATATTATATAGAAAATGTGTACAAAATTTCATGCAATTAGGTAACCATTTTAAGTGTAAGAACAAAAAAGCAAGTGGGTAATATCATGTCGACCCCCAATGGCTCATTGGTAAGTGTGTGAGCTTATGATGCTAAAATCCAGGTTTTGGTAACTGTGGTGAGCACAACAAACATAACACATTTTGTAGCTTTGTGCTTAACAATAAACAAATACACCATATCACCCCACTTTGGTAGGGTTAATATTGAACTTCAAGTTAAAGTGGGTATCAAAATACAACTATCATAAAAATAAATAATTATTTAGAGAACATACAACTGTTGCCCTTGGTGTGAGGTTACATCGGTATTTCTAAATGTACAGTACACAATGTGAAGTTATTACTTGCAAAAAAAAATGTTGAGTATTAATAAATGTACTTTGTTTTATTTACACACGGTGTTATAAAATTGATTGTCTTAAAATTGCATTATAAAAACCAAATTTTTATCAAATATTTAATCATCCACACTATATTTTTTATACATAACAATACACTAATAAAAAAGAATATATACTGTTTTTAAGCAGTAGATGTAAAAGTGCTATCCTTAATTGTTAAGCATAATAATCAGCCATGAGATAATTAAAATTCAGAAAAAAAGGAGCTTTTAAACATAAAAATTGAATATGGGATTTACCTTTTACAGATAAGTGTATGAAAAAAACTAAATGGATGCCAAACTTTTTAATACTTAAAGCTCACCATGTTTTTATATTAGTTATGTTCTATTTTACACAGTTCTGTGGTTGTTTTAGACATAAACATATGATTTCAGTGGAATCTGAAAAGATGTGAAAGTTTATTTTCTTCAACTCTTACCAGACTGTGAGTCTCAAAATGAAAATATCAATATCAACTTACTAATGTTTTTTTGACAGTATTTTGTGATGCAGCTCAATTAAAACTAAACAGTTGGCCTAGTATTTCTTATCCAAACTGCTACCTTGTATAGAGAATTGTTACTATCATGCTACTAAATATTAATAAAATGTTTTCTGTCTGTAAGTACAACTGTATTTTTTTTTAGTCATTTTATGTCATAGTATAGTTAACAGTTATACTAAATGTCTAAACAGGACATACCTTTTTATTAACAACTGTTTATCAATACTTCAAGACTTATGGAAGAAGAAGAGAGAATGTATTGGGAAGAACGTCGTAGATTTGAAGAAGAAATTGAGTTTATGGAGTGGCAAAGACGCTCTGGTAGGGATCCTAGAGGCCTACCCCCAATTCCTGTACCACCACGTTCAATGTTTGGACCTCCTCCTATGATTCCCCCAATAATGTCATCTGTGGTGAGTAAATCATTTAACAGAATTAGGAATCATGCTGATATATGTCAATTTTACCATTATCTTTAAAGTATTATCACTTGGTGATAAAATATGCTATCTGCCAAAGAAATCTCAAGCTGAAAATTTTAAACATCGAGGTACAAGGCTACACTTACTAGAAACACGTTTAGATCTCTGTTTTAAAAAATGGAAAGTGAGTGATACGTGGAAATATGAGACTACTTCAAAAATAAAGTGGAATAATAGAAAAATAATAAAGTAAGATGTTGTAAGAAAATCTTAACATGAACTTTTAAATATTGTAACATACATTGTTGAAATAATAAATGGAATAAGAATCAAGTATCACTGTTTCTATTTGAAATTAAGTTCAAAGAGAATATAAAGGTATTTAAAGTTTGAAGATATGTGAAAAGTACTTGTTAGAAATGACTATTCAAAGTGTCTTCCTGAAATGTCAGCATCAAGCTTTGTAAAAAGTGTCACTTCTCTGGTGAAGAGCAAATTTATATTATTATTATTAGATCCAGAAATTGAGTAAATAATCTATACATAAAAATAAAGTTACAGATAACATTAAAAGCAACTAACAACTAAAGCTTTAGAATTAAGGTCATTTTATAACATGTATGTTATAAAAATGTTAACAAAAATACTTTGTTTGTAAAATTTGAGTCATATAAAAAAAAACCTGTAGGAACATCTTGTATATATACATGAAAATCCTTTTAGTTTCAAGAATGTAATTCAGTTGGCATATGAAAACATGAAAAAGAGAATCCTTGTCCTGATTATAACCCTGTGTGCATGGGATCAGTCAGTCGACCAACCCTTAACTGGAGAATTATTGTTTGCTATGATTCCAAATTAACTGTGTGCAACTCTAATTGTATTTTTCATAAGATGTTATGTTAGGCCTTTTATTTTTAACACTACATTCCTAGTTTACTCCCTTATGGGTTTTCAAGAATTAAAAGAGTGTATAATAACAGTATTTCAAACACACTATATTCATCATATCTATTACTGATGGTGGGTTTCTCTCAATCTTTAAGTTGGTTGAGATATGGGATACAACGAACACTGTAGTGGTTGGAATACTATTTACATGGGCCATTATTTACAACAACAGTTGTTATAGTATGAATGCCTTTTAGAAGCTAACAAAGCATGATATGTTTAATTATATTTGTTGTAAGACATTATATTAGGTCTATTATGTTTTTAACACTACATTCCTAATTTAGTCCTTTACAGATATTCAAGAATTAGTTTATTTTGTTTTATATTTCATACAAAGTTACATGAGGGCTATTTGCACTAGTCCTCCCTAATTTAGCAGTGAAAAGACTAGATGGAAGGCAGCTAGTCAACATCACCCACTGCCAACTTCTGGTCTACACTTTTACCAATTAATAATGAGATTGACTGTCTTGTTATAACTCTTCCCATGGCTGAAAGGGCAAGCATGTTCAGTGATGGGGATTCCAACTCACGACCTGAGTGCCTTAACTACCTAGCCTTCAAGAATTGGAAGTGTGTGTAATAATAGTATTTCGAGTATGCTGCATTTGTCATATCCATTGCCCATGATGCATTTCTCTCAATCAAGAGCTCTTCAGGTCGGCTAGGATATAATGAATACAGTAATCGCTGGAATACTATTTATATAGGCAATTCATTATGACAACAATTGTTACAGCTAGCAAAACATGATATAATTATCCCTCTTACCATGGGCATCTTCTTCTGTGCATGTCATGAGGTTTTAGTAAGTTAGTTACATTCAAAATTTAGTTCAGCTACTTTGTTGTCATGGTATATGAATAAATTTGACATAAAAATGCTGTTAATAAGCCAAATTTTAATAGTATACACGTTTTAAGTTCTTAGTTTTATAAGGCAGTATTTAAAAAAATCATGAATTTTCCCTAGTATGAGAACTGTGACATTTTCTCTCTGTGCTTTCCCTCTTTTCTAATTTATTTATCAACACTCCAAGAAAATTTACCATACATTACTTATTATAATGTCACCATCATTCAGGCAAAGCATAATTTTCATAGCCTTCAATCTTATTTAGTTACAGAGCAATATAATTGTAAATCATACCCCTCTTGCCACACCCACCTGTCACATTCTCTCTTACAGAAATTGCCAATAGTTCTCTCCTACATTTAATACTAATTTATTTATAACCAATAGAAAGCTAAGGTTTTAACTATCAAATGATATGTTACATTATGTAATTTTTTGCACAGAGAATTCTCAATTTTGCTTTTAGTTCAAATGTTATTCCCACCAGAAACACATTAGTTTAGCTGAATTTTTATTGGCTTTTGATGTAGAGTTAAAAAGCCAGAGAATTGTATGTTTTTAAATGTGATGATTCTGTGTTCTTTGGAACATTATTTAATTAACACTCAATACAGGCTCGGTCAATTTGACCAACCACGTGACCTTTTTTATACTTGTTTAAAGTCTTTATAGATTTAATACTTATAACTCTCAATATAATGGGTATATCTTCACAAAATCTGGAAGTCTTTCACATACAAAAAGTCATATTTCTTAGTGAAGTATTTTTAATAAAATAAGATAAAGATTTGCCCATGAATATATTGAATATTTGTTTTGAATAGTCCGTGTGAAAAGTAATTTTCATGTTCAAATTGAAAATACTTTTTCTCATATAAAAAATCTCAAATTTCCTTTGTGTAATCCCTAAAACCTCCTAAATGCATTTCAAACATTTTTTTTTTCAGTAAAACTTTATAGTTTATCTGTTATTTTCTCTACCCTATCTCAAAATGGGATCGGTCAATTCGACTGACCTCATAACCAC